ACCACTAATTACACATTTCCTGAGACACAATGTCGGCACCAAGGACAAAATGCAGTGCCATCGAATGTGCTGTTTAGCGGTTGCCATCGTAAACTCTGCCCTATTCTGAGAAGTTATGTAACTCCAGCAGATTTGTCGTCCGATGTTCTGAAACCCTGCGTCCCATCCTTTCAAAACTACGAAAGAATGCGAAAATATTTTCTTTTAGCATACTTTTGCTGTTTAACGTCTATGCTTTACCCTGTTAATTGTCGTAATATTGGTTGTTTAGGACAATACATACACGTTGTAGAACCTTCCGGATTGTCCTTGCTCTTCATCTACTCCATTGTTAACACTGCTCGTGTCTTGTCGTAATATCTGCTTAGTAGAGAAACCCCAGACATCAACTTTCGATACTCCTCGCCGCCTCATCGGCCGCCTCGTCACCACTCCGTGCATCCCAGACTGCCCTCATCCTCCCTCAACCATGATGGAACCCCCGCGCCCGTGGAGTCACTTCCCCCTCCTCGTCCAGTCCCCTTCGACGGCGGCGTGAGTGAGACGCCCATCACGCCCACAACCGTCTGGCCTCGACCCTCCATTCCTCCGAAAACCTTCTTCCTGGCCAAGGATAGGGCAAGTTGTTTTTTGCGTGTCTGTGTGTGTGCGTGCGTGCGTGCAGGTGGTACCTTCCGAGGCCTTGGTGAGGGTCCTGGAGTGTTGTAGACGTACTTCGACGAATCTCAGATGCGTTGAAGTGGACTCTACCTAGATTTCTCCAGGTAGGCCTCTGCTTTTGAGACAATCGACTGTCAGTCAAGTGACTACACACTTGGCAAGTGATTGACCGTGGCACAGTAGACAGTAGGTTTGCGAGCGGCGCCTTGTTCGAGTCCCACCTCTGCCTATCTTTTGCCATCTTCTCGTGTATTTGTCCTACCGTGCTTAATATCCATAACAAGCATAGTATTAGGCGGTAACATTCACAAGGCATGTAGGCGTTTTCATTACTCTATAAGAAGAGAACATCGTGGAAATCCTCGCCTGGTCGTCAAGTGTGTCAAGCAACAAGTAAAAATTTGCCATGGGTTTTCTCAAAAACCAAGTCCAATGTGGAGGGCGTCCCTCAGCCTAGTACAAGGCCAAATCCCTGTGATTCATTTAAACCCATTTTCAGCAACAGAACGGTGAGACTTCCAGTGGATTTGCTCCTGGCCACCCACCCATTTGTTGGATGGCTTTGTTCTCCAGACTTCATCAGTATGGAATTTCTGGAATCTAAGTTTAAACAGAGCTCAAAGGTTGTGCGGACCGGCATTGTCATTGGTTGGAAGCCTTCTACGATTAATCTAGTCTTTCAGCAAGTGTCTTGCGCCGTTGTGACGTTCTACTAATCCGTAAACCTCTCAGAAGGTATGACGTACCAATTTTAAGCAAGTTTTTAAACTTGGAAAAAAACGTCGGTGTTCCACAGATAACCGAGGCTGTGAATACGAAGCTCAGCGCATCAGGATGTCGACAATCTCCGTGCTGGTGCGGATTCTTACGTTTTGAGAGCAAGCTCCTAATGCCTGAGCAATCCACTCTTCGAAATAGCGTTGTTGGTAACTGGCTTCGCTTGTCTGTTTCTATCCGCTTCGAAATCGATCGAGGATCTAGTGGAGGTTGGGATGAATTTTCCAAACAACGCCGACTTCAGCTGTGTACAAAGTCGCAACAGCGACGTTCATCCACGTGATTGGTTCAATCAACGCCAGTAGCTCTATTCACTCACTTTACGCTGTCATCTGAGCGATAGTTATTCTCCGTTCCTAAAATGGACTTGCATTTGTTATCAGGGCATTTTAATCGATAAATTCCACCTCTCTTGCTGCAACAACCCTTCCTATTTCGACTTCCCAAGTTGAGTGGTCCCGTCTGGTGACTCGTGACGAGGCCGAACCGAGACGTTGAAAGCTCGGTGGAACGTCCTTGCACGGATCGTTGTCCAGTCTGTGAGTTTGTACTGTTAGGATGGATGCAAGCGATCGACAACGCTATCTGGATCACGCAATCAGACAAGCTCAAAGCACACCGAGTCCTGCTCAGACGAGCGATTGAACCTGGGCCATGTAGATCGGCGAAAAGAGCTCCTCGATCCTGTCTGACCACCCTTTATGGGCACCACTTCCTGTTGTCAAGGTCGACGCCTCGATCGTGGAAGGCCGACGTTTTCGATTCCCCACGTGACGACAAATGATCTTCCGGTGGCGACTCGTTCCCTCGATTGAGCCGTTAGTTGGTTGGAGGGGGGGGCAAAACGGTTGGAATTGTCGCTTCTCAATCACATCCTAGCGCCAACCACCGTTTTCTCCGAGGGCCACATGAATTTCCTTGGCCAGAAAAGAGATGTCAGCGTTCTTGTGCAGAACAACCAATTTGCTTTCCAAACCTAGTCAACACGGTTGCAGAAATTTGGCTCAGAATGCACGAAACCGCTCTCAGTGTTTAATCCTATTTGGCTTCGTTAGCGTGTTCGCATCACGCCTGTCGCCGCCCGCCATTACCTCCAGCGGCACGCAAAATCCGACTAATCGGCGGCGAGTCAGGTGATTTGCGCATTCGTCTGGGCCTCCAGTCACGCATATTGTTTCGCGCATGTCTAGCTGTTCGCCGGACCTACACAAAAAAGCTGTCAACCTCGAAAATCTCGCTTTCGGACGGCACGTGACCCCAAATGTGTGTGTGCGTGTGTGTGACTGCCCAATGCACTAATTACCCAGTGTCGTCACGTGACCCACGCTCGTTTTGCCCGCGCCTGGCTCCGCGATCCCCAATGGGGATTAATTGTGTGCCTGTGTCTCGTCGGTCAAAACTTGTAGGGGCCCCGGTATCGATCTGAAACCGTATTGGATGGACTCGGTTACCGGACGTGGATTACCGGGAAATGGTAGGTGCTGTTGCATCGATGTGTTCTTGGACAGGCGTCGACGGAGATGTTGGAGGTGAATCGTCATAATTCACCACGCTTAGCCTCAGCCATTGAAAAGGCTTCCAGTGGATTTGAGGAGCAGGCCCGCACGCGATGTGCCAGAGTTCACACTGTCAATCGCGTTTTATTGGCTCTTAGCTAGTGTATGACTTTATTTTCACGGGATATTCAGATTAAACTTCTATTTAACCTATAAATATTTTCGCGGTTTTGAAAGGATCGGACGCAGGGTTTCAGAACATCGGACGACAAATCTGCTGGAGTTACATAACTTCTCAGAATGTGGCAGGGTTTACGATGGCAACCGCTAAACAGCACATTCGACGGCACTGCATTTTGTCCTTGGTGCCGACGTTGTGTCTCAGGAAACGTGTAATTGATGGCACAAGCGTTTTAGAAGCGGTGATTTCGATCTTAGTGACCAGCCACGCACCCCGCACAGCAGCCTCGAAAGTTTGTGGATGCGCAGTTGCAACCTCAGCTTTATGAACACTCAACGCCAACGCAACAGGAGCTTGCAGTTCGGTTAGGAGTTGTCCAAACAGCATTAGCACCACCAAATGGGAAAAATTCAACAACTTGAAAATTGGGTTCCCCCACGTGAGTTGACTGAACACAACCTAGGTCAACGTGCGAACACACATGCCTCTCACTGCTTGCCCACCGGCAACAAGCTGTGAATGGACTTCTTGTGGAAAATTGTGACGGGTGATGAGGAGAATCTTTTTTTGTTACGAGAATCCCAAACGTAAAATGATGTCGTGGGTAGGTGCCGAGCAGCAACCCAGTACATCGGTGCCGAAACAGAACATCCACTTGAAGACGAATCTCCTCTGTATCTGGTGGGGGAACATGAAGGGTGTACTTTATTGCGAACTCCTACAAACTAAACCATATGAGAGAAGATGATGAGAAAGGGCCATTCACTGGGCAAGGAAGCAGGCAGGTCATACTACTGCCGCTGCATGACGACGCTCGGCCAGCTCACGCTGCTCGCGCGCGACCCACAAGACCCTCTTGAACGTGGGATAGGAAGTTCTGCCACACGTGGCATTTTCATCAAGATCTTAACCCCCTTCCGACTACCCTTTGTTCCGGTCAATGCAATTGCAGCACGCCTTAGTGACTAAACAGTTCAAAACGCTACATGATGTGCATTAATTCGTCGCTGATAACTTAATGGCTTTGACGACGCCTGCAAGTTTATTTCGAGACGGCAATAGTGCGTTTGCTGGGAGATGTGCAGTGTTATAGAAATCGGTGGAAAATATTTTGTATATAATAAATGCACTGAAAATCCGTAAAAGTGAAGTCATACATGTAGTAGTACAAGCTTCCTGTTTTGCACAACTCACAAATGGCCTTGTGGTTGTGTTCTGTGGGTACTTCGATGCATCAGACTAGACCGTTTGGCCACTTTTACGCAAAAAGAGCATGTTTTTACGCCACGTTTGCATGTCTTTATCTTGGGCAGAATCCGCCTCCGATTCCCGCCAAGTCGTTTCAACGGGCTCCCACCCTGCCGAAGCCAAGGGGCGTCAACAACCAGGCGACGCCTCCGCCCGCGCTGCCACCCCGCCGGCTGCCCGTGCTTCAGCCACCCAGGACGCAGACTCCAGTGACGCTGCCTGCTTCCACCCTCGCGAGCTCGGTCCAGCGGATAAGCTCCACGCCGGAGCTGCTCGACGACCTCGGCAGCGATGGCAGCTCCGCGTCGATGAAGACCATGGAGAGTGCCGAGTGCAGCGTCGAGGGATTCACCCTGCTCGGTCTGCATCCGCCTCTGGGGGTCTCACATTCCGACGAAAGCAGTGAGTTGCTAGGCTCTTGCTTGGTAGTCACGAGTTTTGTTGAAGGCTGGTGATATCAGAAACCGCTCCCAGCTAGCAGGGTTACGCAACACAAGGGCGAGGTCACCTCAACTTGGCGCATTCATCCCATTGGACGACTCAAGGTCAAGGTCTCTTCAACCTGACCGTTATAAGGGGCATTGCAGTAAACTCGACACCGAAGTAGCGTCAACGACGGGGTCAACGCTCAACCAGGCTAATTTGAAGGTAGTACGTGCTGCGGCTACAACGCCCGCAGCACGGAATGCGTCATGCAAAACAACTGAACTATCGAGGTGGTCATGAGTCATCGCTCGGTCTAAAATTAGCAGCTCGAGTGGAACGTCTTCAGGCAAAGTGTGCTTCGGAGAACGAGGGCGCTAACGTGGTGGTGTGGTTCAATCGCTGCACCAACAGCTGCAGGCAGTTGTGCGTAACTAGTTGTGTTTCAAGTTGGCATAGTTCGACGAGGCATTGTTGTCGGGGAAAACAACTTCTATTACAAGACGAACGACGGCGAGGGCAGTGGTTGTCACTTGGTGTTCGTGATTAAACTACATCCAGGTGCATCTGTGAGGGGTACTTGACAGAGGTGTGTGGAACCAGCTCGACTTAGCCATGAACTTCAGCCCAACAAGACGTGCATGTGCGACCTTGAATGTTCGCTACAGGAAGGAGATTGTTGTGGCAGGAAACGAGTGGAAAACGAGACACGGGGGCGTCAGTCGCAAATAAGTGACAGATTGGCGTGGGTAATCAAATAGACGCTGCGTATTCGGTTTTGTTCACCTCAACTCGAGTGCACTCATCCAATCTGCCTTCTCGAGGCCAAGGTCACTTCGGCCTGATTGGTTTAAGGCGCATTACAGTATAGTCGACACCGCCCGTGCAAGACACACCGTTGACGAGAAGCGTGGAAGTAGTTTGACATAGCCATGAAATACAACCCCGCAAGATGCACAGATGTGACGTTGATTGCTCGTCACATGAAGGAGATTGTTTTGAAGGATGTTGTTACTCAAGATGGCAGGTGGATCGGTCACGGGGGCGTCATTTGCCAATAACTAACAAAAAAATTGCGCGGAAGAAGTAGCCCTTTAGAATAGTTGCTGCGCGACCCGCGTGGCAAGGGGAGTTTGTGTGCCTAGAATTGGATCTTGGACACATCACACTGGAGATGAACGCTTGAGGTGCGCAAGGTAGCGTTTACTCGCTCGGCTGACAGCTGTGGCCATTTCGAAGCGGTTACGCACCGTGATGAAATAGAACGCCATGCGACTGAGAAGGAGGGTCGGCTTACCGCACAAGCCAATCAAATTGCTAGTAGGCTAGGCGGTCGCTCGGTCGGTCGTGGCGTTCTCATGGTGGTCTTTGCAGCGACACGCAGACAAAACAGCCGTGTGAGTCATGCCAACGCATAGACGAGAAGCGAGTTCCACGTTGCACCAGCATCTGCGTGTATTAGCAACCAAGCAACTGTCGTCGCACCTACCAACGTCATTCACTAAACTCGCCAAATCAGGAGCAAACAGCAGGCAGCGCAGCAACTAAAGTGAACTGTTGCTGCTGCTTCGAGAAACGACCGACAATCGCTCAGATTGGAGTACGGGAAAGAGCGGAAGCACGCGATTTCGACCTAAAAGTGTGCGCGTTGCACCTCCCCTCAAACAGATACAAACACACGAAGCAAGGATTCGTGGGGTAGTCAATTCATCACACTGCTGAACTCACTCGTTCGAAGCCGCCGGACGACCGGATCCGGGGTTCTCGGTGGGTCCCATGCTGCGAGAGTAAGTGATCGCCGGTGGACCGGGTATTCCATCTGTGGAGACCTTCTCCCAGAGCTTGGCAGTGCTCTTGTCCAACTTCAATTGATTCGCCTTCTAGATGGTACATAAAAAACCGCTTATTTGATTGGTTGGTAGCGCAGCCCAACTACAAAAGTTGTCTTCCCGAATCCACTGAAACCACCTCCTCTTCCACTGGATCAAAAATTGACAATTTCACTAACATCGGTCCCATTCTTCAGACATCAGCAGGTTTCCGGGTTCCCAGTGAGTACATATATTTGCCAAAAGAAACCAAACAACACACCAACCACGGTTGTAGGGATGTCGTAGCAAGCAATACCACACATACGTACGCACGCACGCAGCCGCACACACACACATACGTGAGTCAATTAGACTAAATAACGCTGGTACCAAACCAAACGCATTGTCACACCATTTGGGCTTGCTAATTTGCATATAAACACAATGTGATTCCGCATAAGTGGTGCTTCAATGTGTGCCTATATCTCGAAGCCGCTCATTCTCCCCACGACTTACTCATCCTCTTAGTCACTAAACAGGCCAGAAATCATCGCGCCTGTCAAAAGTCGCGTTAGAGAATGAGTGCGGGATTAGGCGAGCAACAAATACGCCAAGCAGGAAAACAGAGCAAGGGTGACCCAAAGGAACTCGTTGTTACGACAGCTGCCTCAACAACCAATCAACAGGTGAGTGCGAAAGAATGCGTTCCCTTGGTGATCACGTGGGCTTAGATTCCACTAGTCAGTAAGTAGGAAGATCTCCGAATCTGACGAGGTCACGATGAGTAAGAGAAAAATGAGCTACAATAATCCACACCAAACGACCAATAACTCGGTGGCCAGCGCGAGACGCACCAGGGCAGCCTTTGAGGTGAGTTTGCTCCACTGCTGGCCAAGTTTGCGTCGAAATCGGCTATTGGTGGTCATTGAGCGCTTGCACGAGATCCAACGAAGGTCACCGAAGTTGGGCTTGTTGGAGGGATTGTGTTGCAACCGCTCCCTGCACTTGTCCGCGAGGAGGTGGGCTTGAATTTCAAAGTCGTCGGCTGTGTGCGTTGAAAGGCGGTCGTAGAGGAACTACAAAGGCAATTGAGTGAATGCCTTCAGAAGAGGAGTGAGTTAGTTGGAGCACACAGCCGTTTCGGCCAGATTGGGGCCTCATCAGCACGTCAGAAGGACCCAGTTCAACAGAAACAAAGATCAAGGTATGGAGAGTATTAACACCTACGCAATGGATCATCTGAGATTCGTAGAGCTGTACAAGGAACGGTTCCAACGGTGGACAGGCTTGGCAAGCGACCATCTGGCGGAAGTCCACTTGTCCTGAAGGCGATGTGCACTGTCGAAAGTAACCTGAAGACAGCAAAACACACACACACACACACATAGTGATGCCAGGCATTAGCAACGGTGGGAAACGTTGTGCTTTAAGTACGTGTATGTAATCGTTTTGCAGAGAAGAGGGTTAACAACGCCACAGGCTGCCCCTCCTCCAAAAGCCATTCGTGCTATTTCCCCACAAGCTCCGTAAACACAAGCACATTTAAACGCCCACAAAGCATAACTCTAGCGGATATTGGGAAAGTTAAGGTGGGTTCTGTTTAATTAATGCTCAATCCATTTTCGGCTTTCCCGTGGATGCAAAAAAAAACAAAGCACGTCGTGGTATTCTTACCCAGGAGGTTAACGAGAATGGCGAAGAATGGCTTGGCTCGCTGTGCTAGGTAATTCTGCATTGGCAGCTTGGAGGTCTTCCACGGCGCGAACTCGTTGCTCTTGGAGTTCATCGCGGACTTGAGGAAGCGCTTACTGTCGGAGAACTCCACCCCGAAGAATTCCAACTTTAGGAAAAAAGAAAGCGAACAAGACCCACCTAGCGATGATCGGGATTGATATGGCAACAGTCAGAAAGCAAACTGGGCACTTACGATTGCAGCAGGCACGTCCTCACGGTCAAGGTCGGCATCGGGCATATTTACAAGTATTCGCTGTCCGTCCAAGTCCACCACGCGAGTACCATAAGTAATGTACGGTTTTGCTGTCTGCCGTGGGAAGAAAAATCGATTCAGTAAAATAGCAGGCCAACCAATAAAAAGAGTGCGCATCTGTCCAGCTATCGGATTGGACAGAGAAGCTACTCGACACTACTAACAAGGTTACTCAATGGCATGACCCAAGATGCAAATCGACTCCAAAGATGTGCCACGGTGTCGTGAATCTCACAACACGGAAGCTGAGGTAAAACGTCAGAAGTTTCTAACCTCGGATCCATCGGGTTCGGATAAATTAGCCAATCACAGTGACGCGCCAAGGATGCATGACGTCGAAAGAAGATCCTGATAATCCACTAAACTCATAACCACAATACCGTCCAATAGCAGCTGGAAAAAAGCCCTTCAACGCAAGACTGAAGGCCACGATTCCCTCTGACACCAATGGTAGATCCGAGTTCTTGACTTAAAGAACAAACAACAGTAGACGAGGGTTCGAGCGTTTAGAATACAATCTCAAACGTGACGTGACTCTCAGTGTGTATGTAATCCTCGCTGTCAACCTTTCATCGCTTCCAAATCCGGTTTCATTGGATCCTAAGAGCAAACCGATGACAGCTCAATCTTGCGCATTGATGCAATTCAGTTGCCAACGTAGTTTGTGGTGGTCCATCACGATATTACTGGTGATTCCTTTGAAACTAGAAACATTTTCGTTGCGTTTAATATGCATACCACAAATGTCACTTCCTTGTGTCATGCGAACCACTATTAATTAACGCGTAAGCCAAATAGCAAGATTCTTAACAAGTAAATGCACCCTTTAAGTGATTTGCAGGTGTTAGACGTCTAACAACGTCCTTACAATCCTTCGGACAACTGCAAGAGCACAAGTCGATTCAATTATGGTTTTGAGTAAGTCATCATCTGCTACGATATGTCGGCTAGAACGACGTTGGCTATCATCGAGTGAAATGTCTCCACGGCGGAGTGTTTTAAACTAATTCTGAACGCGCGAGTTCCCGTTGAAAGTGTACCTCGACGCTGACGCACACACCCGTTGGATCTGTTGGCAGCACAACACGACACTGCGGGGCTCATAGTAGCGCGCTAGTGGACAAATGCGTTGGTGAGGAGAAACCCGCCCAACACACGACGAGGAGAAAGAGAGAGAGAGAGAGAAGGGGGTAATTGTGGTGGTGGCCTTGAAGTGAAAACGTCCCAAGTTGAATTCCCCACATTTTACGTGGTGACCTCAGGTCAGGTGTTTGCAGTCACGGTGGCATGATCAACGTGCAAGTAGCACACGAGGACACCCAACAGTGCATTGTGATCTTTAAATACACACAAAAACAAGGGTTGCATTGCCCCAGGTCCTCGAAAACAGGTTAAAAGCCAACAAAAGAACATGCACGCACATACACACACAATGGCCCCGTTGTTTTTTGTCGCGATTACCCTTAATTAGTTTCTACGAGTCAAAAGTCAGCGGTTTCGTGAGACGATCCGATCTCGCAAACATGTCGACAATTTCGTTACGCTCAACCTGGCTGCGTAGTTTACCGCAGTTCTCAACTGACTCTCGCTAGCACTACCTCGAATTACGAATTCTCCATCTCGTCCACCACAGCATCTCACGCCAGGACACCAACAGCGGACGTTTCAATGGAAAAGAGGGTTGTGCCATCGACATCGACTTCTCGCAATGACCTCAATTGTCACCGAACCAAGCCCTTGCTGTAGGAATAAATCGGGTTTCGATAATGGTGACCCCTTCTACAGATTAATGTGTTGTTGCACGAGGTCCTTACAAGAAGCCTGGAGCTCAGTCAATTGACCAATGAGACTGCGTCGATCGGATTGTGTGCACGTTTTGATTGGACGACAAACAGGTCACAGTGCCACTGTGATTTTAAAAAAAACCAACCCCTTTTCAAGACATACCTCGAACATACACGAGTGGATCCCGGCAATGAAGGGCACTGGAGATCTAGAGGAAAGCCAAGGGGGGGTTACCAACACCGGGAAGCGAACTTACTCGAGGACCTGCAAAAATTTCCTAGATAACACCGGATAGATGGGCGAGACCCTAGTAGGGGGGGGGAAGGTTGTGCTACACCAAAGTGGTCTTACCAAGAGAGGGGGTAGAGGAGGGAGACAGCAGCGATTATGCTGTAGGTGAGACGTTGTCGGCTCTTGGAGTAAAAGAGAATGCTCTTCTCTAGAAGCATGCTGAATTAAAAAAGGATGAAAAATCATTTGGATCGCTCCTCGTCCATTCTATCGTTATAGCCTCGAATGAGAGACTCGTGGGTGGGTCAGCAGCCCCTACTAACTGCATTGGGATTGGCTTCATTCGAAAACCACAAGACGGCAGCACACCAAGTTTTCGATCCACACCGAAACAAACACACCCCCCCCACACACACACACCCCAGTTAAGGTGACCAAACTACGACGGCCTGGCTGTGAGGGGAAAGGCACATAACCGTTCGTACCTTATGAAGATATCGATCCATTGAAGCGGCTCCAAGGACGAGTAGTACTGCTCAAAAGCTTTCTAGAGAAGTTCGGGTGAGACGAAACGCGGCACATTTACCAGATAGTATGGGTGGCTAGGAGTTGGAATGGGCAATCGAATATCCTATAAAGGCAAATTAGAACAAGAGAGAGCAATCAGCTGGCGAGGCTGGTATTAGACCATCCCCAGGAACAAGTGAAATACGCCAACGACAACACTCCACACTCGACTAGATACCAGGAAAGCGCATTAGGGCAACAAGCAATTACGTGCAAGAAGAAGCGTTTCGCAAGGCTGCGTGTTTGACAGCGTTAAGGTGAAGGCATGCATTAGAGAAAGATCGGTAGTCCGAGTGGTGTTATGCTCTTTTTGCCTCAAAACTCACTCGATGATACTCAGGGTAGCCGTTATCCGCAGTACACCAGTACTGCAAAGTCAAAATTTAGTTGATTTTGAATGCTAGGCCTGCATTCCAGCCTGTGATTTTACACAATTTACAAGGAAAACAGAAGTGCAAGAAAGGCAGGTCAATTCGAGACCACGGAAGATGCATACTCGTACGCACGGATAAAGCAGGAGTGGGCATGACAGGAAATTGGGAAAGCAAACCAGAGACAACGAAAGGAAAAAAAACACCAACCAACCAATCAACCAGCCACCTCCACGCACAGACAAACCGACTGGACGGTGCTCAGAGCTTACCGTGGGTGGACTTCGAACTAGGAGGCGCTGAAAACAGTTCCAATGCATTCACAAGGGGCATTGGTATGTGTGGCAAGTAGGATCAAAAGTTATGCACAATTGATTTCACACCATCCTCCCAAACTGTTGAAGTATTCCACATGCCGAAAACGACCCCGGGTTCCCATTGGGATACTCACGCTACAGCTGGCTGTACGATGCGCTCAAGGCAGACATTTAAGCTCAGGAAGTAAAAGGTTAGTTCTGGGGAGCCTGAAGGACTTACTACAACACACATTTCAACAGGATTTATTGACAACGCTATTTTTAGCAGGCAGTGGTGTGGAGGAGAGAAGTTCCTTACAAAGCGCCTCGTTATTCCTGGATGCCAAAGCATGCTACAGAACAATCGACCCCTAAACACTTAAACAGACATGTAGTTGCGCGTGTGGGAGATTTTACCTCGATTTGGCATAAGTGGTCTAGTACTGAAACGAGAGAAGAGCAGTTGACGCTCGCCTGCAATTTTGCTGAAAGAAGTTGTTTCGAGATTTAGAACAGACTTTACATTAATGAAATGCTGATTCGATGCATAATATGAAGACTGGAAGACCAAAATGCAGCCGCGATGCTTTGAGAATGGCGCGATTTAACTATAGCTTTTGCGTAAACCATTGATAGGTAAGGAGAAATCAATGGAAACCGGAGGGGAGCGTGACGCATTATCGCTAGTGTGAGTCGACCAGTATATGTCAAAAAGCAGGGCGGTACGATTGCTTAAAAAGTGCAAATAAAAAATGGATACAGCAAAGAGGAGTTACAATGACACTAAGCATTGTGCCTTCATGAGGAAAAAATCAGCCCAGTGTCTTTTAATGTCAGGATGAAGGAAACGCAATTCAAAGAAAGGATTTCAAACGTACCTGATCGGGAGCATTGGGAATGGGATAAGGGATGGAGATCGCATTTTTCCTGCTTGGGGGAGGTTTAATTTCTCGCAATTTATCAAGAAACTGGTTAAGAGTAGGTATCCACTGTGGTTTGTACAGCTCTTTCGATTTAACCTCCTCCAAAAGCCGGTGGAAGCAGTCAAACCAGGGAAGGTAACTGAAAACACACAGGTGCAGCTAAGTCGTGATTAGAACGCGAAACAATAAATGAAGAACGAGTGCTCATACCTACTGAAACAGAAGAAATGTTCTTCGGTGTTCTGAAGACAGTGGACATATTCGCAACGACCTTCACCATCGGTGAACAGAAGAACGTAATATTCGCAGAAATTTAACCTAATGAGTGTGTGAGATAATAAGAATTAATGCCCACTGTCTGCAGCATGCTGGACCAAACTCAATGACGCGATTTACAAACTCAACTCCAGTCGAATCCGGGAACACATATTTGGCTAAAAGGGAGAAGCAAAACATCAATCCACTGCAAAGGTAATACAAGACAGAAATTTGAAATTAGTTCACCAACCGAAATACTTAGGCCATTTCGACCCCGTATCAAGATAGAGGAAAACCATTTTTTTAACCTCTATCGATAAAATGAATTTAGTGAATGAATTTATACCTACAATTTATTAAAAATTGCCTGAAATAGGGGATATATCAGTTATCAAAAACACTTGCAGTAGACCGAGACAATTTAGAGAACGTACGTAGACTTCAATCTATATAATCTACGCCGAGTCCTGAGCGGGAAAATTGGAGTCATTTCGAATTGGGTGCAATTAAGAAATAAAAGATGCAAAAAGGGCCGTGTATAAACCAAGGTTTGTCAAGACTTCTTGTATGGGTTAACTTTGATACAAAAACATTGTAGTTGAGTTTCATAAAGGAAAGGACAATCTAAGGATACTAGCCGATGTCTTAAAATAAATTTATACGGCAAGAACTAAAAGTACTTACTATTTCCAGTGTCATTTTCATAGATAAGAAAAAAGTTAAAAATTCGATCGGCATCCCTAAAAGCAGATTAAAAAAGGGAAGGACAAACCTATAAGCGAGATCAACCATCTGAAAGAAGCCACCCAATCAAGGGAAGGGCAAAAACATTTGAAAATGCAAAGTTTATGTTAAACAAGTAAAACACTGGTGTATAGACAAAGCCAAAAATTAATTTTATTATTAACAACAAAAAAATTAATTTTTCACCAGTATGTCTAAAGCAACTGTAATTCTAGACAAAATTTCTTTGGGGCCTAAATCAACCGAAACGTTCCTGCTTTCAATGAATGGTGCAATTAATAGAATTTAGAAGAGATTTGATTTCTACATAAAAACTTAGGCCATTTTTACTGCTAGCTTTGTGCTTAAGTAAACACATGCATAGGTTCTTCAATTCCTGCCTGTCGGTCTACTAGGACCTACGGTGCACTCTCAAGCAAGAAGGGAATTATTCCACTGGAATTTTTTTGCACAATTCGAAATATATATTTGACGATATTGTTAAGCCCAATATAAAAATTAGTTGACAGAAATGGTTAAGATCCCTGCGCTCTCTCGCCCTCGAATAAACGACCGCTAAATGCAATAATTGAGTGCCTTTCCAGAAGCAAACGATCACATGTGGTGGCAAAATATGAAAAAAGAATTGACAGCCTTAAATACAATTCCACCAAATTTAAATTTATTTTAGTTACTGATTTCTTCAAAAAATCCCTTTTTTGCTTATCGGGAAAACTAATATTGTGGGGCATTTGGAGTGAAATCGCAAATAATCTGCAAACACAGAACTCGGGAGTATTTAAATGTTAAAATACCATTTAAAGAAATTGTTTTAAAATATTACTCAAAATATTCTAAGTATATTTGTTAAATATAATCTCCATCGTAATTCAATAAAATATGAAGGTTTTAATTATGCCACACGCAGTCAATGTTTTTTATTTTTAACATCTAACTGTGAGATATACTTTCCTGATATCCCTTTTGTTAAGCCATTTGTTTTGATAAAGTTTTTTAGAACTGGAAAGTTATATCCTGGTATCCTACATTTCTCTTATGTCCTTATTAAACGGCTCTTGTACTTAAGTGCTGTATTTGGTTGCTCCCGCATAGAAAGTTGTGGTTTTCAAAGGAAAGTGCCTAGATTTCAAAATTGAATTTTTGATCCTTGTCTATTTCAGGATTTTAGGCTAAGTGCATTCAGTACAGAATAATTTGTGTTTATTAGCACACCTTTCTCAGTACCATGACTAAATTACTTTTTCTTAAATACTCATCTTAGTATTGTGCAGTGAGCCAAAATAAAACGTAAGGATGCTGTCTAATAAGGTAGTGGTGACCTTTGATATTTTACATGTGTATGAAAAATGTGACAGAATCGCTTTCACAAAGATCTATTTAGTTAGGTACTGAAAATTTATTTAAAAGTGAGTCTGTTGTGTAATTGGTCAGAATTTTTCGCGGTGTGTTTAGTTGACTTGGGCTGGATTTTCCACATTTATGTCGTTGAAATCTGCTATTGACAATTTGGTGAGTATTTTGTGTACGATTCTGATTATGAAAAACCATATTCTAATTATTTCTTTTTTCACGGATACGACAGTACAGAGTGTCCGATAACCATTAAATTCTTTGATCAAATCTGGTTTCGCCTTTCTCGATTGTTTCGCTTTTCGAAGGCATTTTGTTGTTATAATGTTCACCCGCTCTTCATTGATGTCGCCCTACTATCATAGTTTTACTTTTATATCTAAATAACCCTTTTCCATCGTATTTATCGTTGATTATTTTGCGCCCTGTTCTACAACAAAAAGTCAACCTCTAACTTCCCTTTTTGACTGATGTTGGAGGCTTTTGTATTGGCTGTAAGTGCGTCTATTTATGCCAGTTTATCTACTAGAAGTGTCGCCTTCGGTATTTTTAGCGTGTCTTTGTTAAAATTGATCCTTTCTTAGATGCATTCATGTGATCAATTGGCACTACGCTTTTGGGTTACTTGTGGTACCAAGGTTATTAGAAAAATTATCGTGGTTAACTAAAGGGGTACAAACGAACGATGTTCAATCTTAATGCATTTGAATTTTATAATTCGTATTGTCTTGACTTGTCACTATGAAGCTAGTCCTGTCATCCACGAAATTTCACACTAGCTAAATGTGTCTTTGTGTGGGTGTGAGTAGACGCACGTAAACACCTGTAACGTTTGTCATGGTATTTCTGTGTGACACTTTGTTAACTTGAAGACACTTTCCTCCACAGACAGTAGTCTATTTTTGAAAGGATTCATTCTGGAGTTCGTGTTTGGTAAAGTAATATTGTTAAGCCGAAATATTAAGTGATGTACAACTTCCATCTGATGACGCCCTGCATTTCACGAATGCTATTAAAATCATTTTAATACAAGACGGACTTCTCTGTAAGAAGCCCAACGAGAGAACGAATGGGGCATTAATAGAATGAGTGAATCAAATTCATGATAGGTATAGCCTGATTCGTACTCAACTCCGATTAAATTGCATTTTTACCAGTAATTTCTCTAAACCGCACGTAAATTTACAAAGCATTACTTTTTGTGCAGAAATAAATTTACTGCTTGGAAATAAGGTAATGCAAGTAACTGTAACGTTCAGTGCTTGGTGTCTAAGTCGTTTAACTTTTTAGTTTTGAGGTGACTGCTTTCGAGGCTTGTGATTCAGCTAACCAATAACCTCTACTGTTCGTTGCTCAGTAGAAAACTCCAGTACAGGAATTACGACGAAAAACCTGCATAGTCGGTGCTGTGAGTCGTTCGTGCATCATGCTCATAGTATGCCTCTTGGAAATCGACTTTCTCTCTACCGTCGAATATTTCCGCTATTACTGGCAAATTGCCTTGTTTTTGGCCCGAATTCTGCTAGGAATGCAATGTTTGTACTTTAAGTAAATTTCACCCTTATAAATTGGTCTGCACTGTACTTATCGTGAAAATCTGATAAGGTTTTGCTTATGGACTAGTTTTTTAACGCCAAGTTGACTACACACTCAAACTGCCAGGCTTCAGCTACGACCGTTCTCTCGCTTTTTAGTCGTCTGAGGAGAAACGGAAGATCAGTGAGCTCATCCAGACCAAAGAGAAGAATGGCCACGACTCCTCCACGTCGTGGATGTACGAGCAGCCGAAGAAGAACACGGAGGACTTCTTGTTGGGCAAGGCGATCAAAAGTCTCGAGGAGTTGGCCGAGATTAGTCGGGACCAGGACGAGGAGACTCCAGCGCAGCGTCTCACTCGTCTGGACATGGAGGCGAAGTTTCGTGAGGATCCGCTCAATCTCATGCGGTAAGCGCAACCAACACACCCCTGATTCCCTGCTCTCGTCTCCTGCTCGTGTGCACCCCGTGCTCCTACTTTTTTTAGCCAACATGAATACGACAAGAGGAGCGCCCTCCTACAAAACACTGCTCGTATGAAGAAGCTCCAGCGGCTGGTTTGATTTAATTTTTACTTAAAAACATCACACGCTATTAGATCGAGCAGCAGAAGCACGCAATGGAGGCCAAGGAGAAGAAGAAGCGGAAGGAGAAGAAAAAGAGCAAGAAGAAGAAGAAGAAAAAGGAGGAGCACAAGGCAAAGCGACACCACACCAGCTCGTCTTCGTCAGAGTCCTCTGACAACTCCGAGGATGACGCCATCTTGGACAAGTTCATCAGTATTATTCGAGCCGCCGATAGGGAGAAACGCGAGGCGGGCGAGGGTGCCGATAAAACGAAAGAGGAGGGCAAGAAGAGGGAGAAGCATCACTCTAAGCTGCGGCGGAAGTCGCATTCTCCAGGTTCCGGTCTTGAACCGGATTCTCCAGTCAAGAATCGTGACAATCGGGCTCCTGAAGCGTGTACATCCGTCAAGCCCAGTCACGACAGGGGTCAGACGGGGTCGAGAGACCTACATCGTCGACGAAGGTCTAGGTCGAGGTCGTCAGAGAGACCACGCCACGACAGAGGCTCCCGCAGGTCGAGGTCACGCGAAATGCCGTCTCGGCTCCACCGGCCACACCCTGGAAGACACGAGGATGCCAAACCACGGGGTTGTCGACTGACCCAGGAGGAGATGGCCGCGCTTCGAGCGCAGATGGCAGCCGACGCGAAGGAGCGCGAGGCTGAACGCCGCGAGCGCTTCGAACAGCATCGGGCGGAGAAGGCGCGCAGCGAGATAGAGGAGTTAGAGGGGAAGTTGAAGCACGGTGCCTCTTTCCTGAAGGGACTCACTCTGGATCACGTGGCCAGCTCGTCGGTGGAAGAGGTCGTCCAGAGAAATGCGAAATCACGCCAGCGTGGAGGAATGGACGAAAACTTTTTGAAGAGATGACCGTCTGAGGAGGCATTGGCCCCCTATTTGTATATATTTTCCGATTAATTCACTTTCTGTTGTATTCTTTCTGTCATTGGTCAGGGTAGTGATTCTTCCTGGAATTCTGGTCCGATTCGTTTAGCTTTTATGTCCCTTCTTAAGGCCGACATTTTCTTCGGCCCTGGACAATTCTACTTTCGGCGTGGAAGACTGGGTTTAGAAGTCTGTACCAAGTTTATCATTGCACTCTCAGTTAGGCAGCTTAACTCAATGACTTCATTTTGATCTTGAGGTAGACTTTTAAAAAAATCGTTGAAAGGGTCCAGCTAGTTTGTGTGCTTAGTAGAGTGCCAGTTCGAATCCGAAAGTGATATCGGTTTTGCAGTTTGATGCGAAAATCAATATCGTTAAGTGCTGGGAATTCTTTGTTCTTACTGACTACGGATTGCTGCCTTTGATGTATCTACAGAATTTCTAGTTCTTATTAGCAACAGCACTTAATCAGGTGCGTCATTAGTGAGATTCGAAATAAGCAAATAGGAGGGGGTTAATTCACTTTCCAACCGACATTGCCTTGGTGGAACGCGATCCACTTATGATTTGTCGAATCTTGTCGTCCATCCTGCGTCGCTGTCCTATCGAATTTCTTGCGAGCATCTCTCCATGCTCAATACCTTTGTTCTTACGCCAGTATGGGAAGTCGGTCCTGGGTATTGGTTCGTGTGAGTTGTCGATATGGTTGGTGCCGGTTCATTGCCAACCGTCAACTTGATCATCGTTTTCTACTGACGTCACTGTTGACAATCGATTGATTTATCACTGATGATGATTCCTACTAAGCGGGCGTCAGTTTGATTGCTTTTAGGATGCACACCACAAATATGGTTTCTGCATGACTCAAAGAGCAATCCACATCCAGAAATGGTTACAGAGATGGATCTGGCCTTCCCATTTTACCAGATTACTGAATGCCAGCGTTCGCGGTAAAGTAAAAAATCTTTGCTCTGATGAATTATTTGCAGGTTTAATTAAAGACCTGGCAGTTGATTGGACAGTCGGTCCAGATTTTATGAGAAGGGCGCTAGTTATTTGCACCAACAGAACAGGAATCGGATTCCGATGGTTCAGGAGCTGTCAACGCAGTTTGAAGGGCAATCATGTTGCCCAGGACTGTTGATCGTCGCGCAACTGTGGCATTTATGGATGCAGTGAACCTCACCACAGCCCATTACATCCCTCTGATGGTAACCACACTTTCGACCCTGAAACTACGAATAATCACGTGGACAAATACATCTGCTGCACGGGGATTTTTTTACCAGAGGATGATCTGATTCTGTCACACCGTCAAGCTCTGGCTGGCGAGGATTTTGAAACAACCAAAGTTGGTTCAGAATCTTTGCCCGACGGAGATGTCGGCGATGTCAAGAGTCGGCTAACAATGCATCAGCGGAGGATATCAGACGAGTGCTCTGTCATTTTTGACTCTTCTGCCAACGCAAGTATCGTCGGCCTTAGGAAAAACGTGCAGGAGACCGTTTGAACACGATACGACCGTTGGGACTCTTGCAAACGACGCCGCCAATCACCCCCAACGCAACTCAGCTGGCACTCGAATTAATTGAGTCCCATAATTGCTTACGGATGTTGTCATCTTCCCCCGAGTAAGAATTGAATGGACGTTCCATGGTGCCTCAACTTAGGGAAAACTTTGACCCGAACGACGTCGCGTAATGGAACGCATGTCATACTGCATCTCAGGCTGGACCGATTGTTGAAGGTCGCTGAAGAAAAACATCAAAAAGGAACTCAGAATTTTTCCGGTTTTCCAAACTCTCATGCCAAATGAAAATACCGACGTCCAGACGATTCTTTGGTACAAGATCAACAAGTGGAAACCAATGTTCAGGTTATCTACAAACTGTACCGTTCAAATTCGGATATTCCCTCTGGCTGGTCCGTTGAAGTGCTGCTCCTTTCTACCCATTTCTACTTGCTGATGCATTCACTAACTGAGGGGGTGTAACACTTGTCCTTTTACTTCTGCATAACCGTTTGTTTTACTGAAGTGGTTGTGTTGGAGCACTATTCAAAGTCTCCAAGGGTGTATTTTCCAACACATTTACTGTCTACTCTACATGTCGTCGTGATATTTATTGTTTATGATAACGGCATTAACAATTTAACATGCTGAAACGTTTTATTTTTCTTCGATTCACATGCGTACTTTCTTCTGTATTAAAGATTGTGCTATTTGCATCGTGCTCCTTACCTAACGAAGCCGAAGAAAACCACCGATGTCCTGATATTTCTTCGGAATTTTGAAGTGATCGAAAGACGATCCCCTCGAATCATTTGAAGTTGGACTTTCCTCTTCCCGACTTCCTTCCTCTTTGTCTGCCGACGTCCAAAATGGCCAACGGAGAGCCACATTTACCATCTTAATCTTTATTTATTTGTTGTTTTAATCCTGCTTTATGTCGAGCGCCGCCTACAATTTGCCCCGGATGCGAAAAACCCAGTTGGTTCCAATACTAATTAATGTTCACTGTATACACTACTGTTGTGATTGTATTCATTGTTTGGGGTAACCCGTTTGCTTTGTCAACGGTTCAGATTCGTCATTGATTCTTGTTAATTTTTTCCGTGTTTATTCACACATGGAATGCAAATACTTACATTCAAGTGTGGCTCAGATTTTTCCTGTCAGTTATTGCGAAAACCAATTATCGCCATTTTTATCCGGTCAGTGCCACTTTAAGGAATTTACGGTCGTTGGTTGCGGTGGTGGTGGAGGAGGAGGAGGACTCAAAAACGTCTCCACAATCCGGCGTTGATCAGATTAAAATGAGGCTTTCATTCAGTCATCACTAGTTTCGGTTTATCGGCTAGAACAAGGTTTGTAATCTTCGATTGAAATTGATATTTTAAGCCAAATCTGACACGTGCATTCACTTGAACAATCAACATTATTCACCCCACACACCTCCAACTACTTCCTTTTTTTGTGAAACGGGAAAAAGTAAAAAAAGTGTTTCAAAAGCGCTTCGTGTTGACACAGCCCTAAAGTAACGCGCCATTCACAGTTAACATAAATTAAAACAAATCGATGTTCTTTAAAAAAACTGCACAGCACCAAAAGCAGATAACCTACTTAATGGTGAAATCTGATTGGCTCTGCAGTCACCAATTCGTGAAAAAAGCCTCAACTTCTTTTCTAATTCAGCATCCATCCAGGTGCTTAATGGCACAGTTGCGCCAGAGTTAGGAGCAAAATCTACAGACGCTCAGAGTAAAAATAGCCTGCACATGTGCGGCAATAACTACTGGGTGGGTGAGCAACAGCTTCTGAATGTTTTTTTTTGATGGGTATGTGAAATTGGCTTGTTCCCTCAGGTGTACTTTCGCACCAATGATGATCAAGAGCGCTGCATTCCTGAAACAAACGACTGGGTAGGCCAATCACCGACGACTCAGTGGTGTTCTAGACAATTCAAGCAAATCTTGCGGCTTCGTGGGAGTATACCTCGTGCGTAATTCTAAACGCGGGAGATGCTCCAAGGGTGAGTGAAGGCTTCGTCGTGAGATTTGCCGATTCAAGAGGGCGCTCCGGCGTGTCTCTAGATTGCGTTGAGTCAGAGCGGAATTCGTGTCAAGTAGAGTCACATGACATGCCTGCGCAGTCTTGTTGCAGACAGGAAGCTTAGAAATTGAGAACATGCGGAACGGCAAACATAGTTTGCAGTATGTTCGATTAGGGCCGGTTCTAGCATGGAATACGTCACTTTTTACTTTAAGCAGTCGAAGCTCACAAAGAGACAGGAGAGGCTATTTGTGTTAATTGCTCACTAGAACACACGTGCCAGAACTGGTTTTAAGTGTTTCGCTGTGGAGATGCTTTAATCGAAGATGTCAACTGTCGTCCTTGCCGACACATCAAAGCCGATGGTGACTGGATCAGAGCCTCAAGTGGGTCAATTCATCGGCGTGTAGCTGTTCAAGAGATCGCATTGACTTTGTTGAATCTATCGGTTAGACGTCCAACAGCTGCAAATCACTTAAAGATGCATAGACTTGTTAAGAAATTCACTTAACTCAAAGAAGCAAAACTGTTGTAAATCCTAAACACAAAGAACTTGTTCTTCGTTGAAACGCAAACGATGATCGTGGCGATGATTTGTAATGAACCAGCATCGACAACTGAATTGCACCAATGGCACAAAGGCGGCGAGATTCGGCGAATCACAATGGAGTCGTGTTCCTCCAGGACAATGCAGGTAAATATTCTGGATTTCACACACTCTTCGAATCGATGAACACTAATGACGCCAACCCGAAATTGCACTTGGTTGAACCTCTTCAAATCTCCTGAGCGAGGTTGTTGACTGTTCACCCTTTGTGGTACCTTGTGGACTGACGTTAGGTTTGCTACGATTAACTGACGAAGCAGTGTTCGTTGTGCGAGAACATTTCGCCTACCTGTCAGGTATTTTTCAACTTCCCTCGCAGCTCCTTCTGCCTCGTCTTTTTTCTTAATTACATTCCGATCTAGGCGTCATGTTTTGGCCCGATCAGTGCATCGAAATCGCAATTTTCGTCTGACAAAATGGGAGGCTAATCTGATCTGACAGTCCATGATAACTTTCTTCTGCAAAGACGACGTCAGTAGTGTAGCATTATCACACAACTGACTGGTCGTTTCCTATCAAGTCGACATTTTTTTTGCAAAATGCAGGCAGGCAACTACGGGTACTGACAGAGACTCTTAAAATCACAATTCGTGGTCATAAAAGGCAAACAACCCAAGGGTTTTAATCCACAACAACGAGACAGGTCATGATTTCACCCGGCTGTCCTAGCAAATAGTCCGGCAACACAATTTCAGCCATTAATTTAGGAAAATCCTACACTTTTCTATATTACAAATGCTGTTCGACACCCATGCTGAGTCATTTCCCATACCTCACGAACTAAGGAAGGAAGAAAAATTCGATTTAATGGGGTCCTTATATGTTGTTAATTAAAACAAATTTCTGACTGCCGCAAACACCCCGCTTCCGCCTCAAGTTACGCGGAAAGATCAAGATGTGGTAGGCGTGGAGGACTTTTGGATGACGAAATTGAATTAATAGGAACCGCAATGACTTTGTGCCCAAATGTTCGGCCCGAGTTCCATCAACCGAAGATGTACATGCTGGTATTATAGAAGCGTCGCAAGGATAATTCTGGGGGAAACGGCAGGTAACTAAGTATCAGGTATATTTAACTATCAAAGACGCTGTTTAATCGAATTGAAAAGCGCGGTAAGCTGCCCAAAAGACATGTGAATTGTGAAGATGGCGCGATGAAGTGGACATGACTCGTACAAGACTGTGGCGTCAGTGATGGCAACTGTAAGCACAGCGAATAGCAATGGCAAAAGTGGACCAATGAAAAGTTAGCAGGAATTGGATATATCGGATTAGAAGAGGTGCTACGGATAAACCACAGGTGACGAACCGCTTGGAAGTCGTCCACTCATCCCCCTGCATCAAGTCTACCAGCAGCACATTCAACACGAAGTCGGATGATCTTCAACACAAACGGCCAATCAGAATATTGCGTTTTCAGTGAAATTTGCGCATAGTCAACGAGACCGATTGTTTGTGTGGGGCCACACAAGAATCATCATGGCAGGCTCCTGATTGCAACCACAATTGTCTGGGTTGAGCGATCTTCTATCCGACTTCACAACAAAGCTTCTTGAAATATTTTCTCACATTCAGTCGAGTGGAAATACATTTCAAATATTATCAATAACCTTGTCAACTGCACACAATAGGTACAGAAAATATCTCACACGCATAAATTTCTCTATTAATAACCGTGCAAATAGCTATTTATAGACACGGAAAATTCTCGCCACCTATGCGTGCACAATGTATTATAAAGGTAGATGGTGGCGCTTTGAATTATTGCAATGATTCATGCCCAATTATCACAGGTGGCAGAGGCTTGATGTTCGATGTATTTTTTTTCTTTTAAACTGACAGTTATCCAAACGCCTAGTAACTCAACCCAACCTCAGCGCAAACTTTGTTTAAGCTAACATGTGCGTAGGGTTAAATGCCAAATGGGAATTCACGCAGCGTGAGGTTAAAAGTGGACTTAGTGGCGAAATTTCATCGAATAAGCACTGAAGAGATGGCTGAGTTACTTAATATCGATGATTCGGTTGAATTGCAGCGCTCAAAGCAACCGAAATGAGTTCCCACTACCACTTATCTCCCAGTGGATCAACTTAACTGTGCGTGAAAGAGCAAGAAGCTGGAAGCGTGGACGTGGAAGGGCGGAATCTATGCCAAATGCTGAACTGCGGCACCTAATGAATGTCTTCGTTTAAGGTCTGTCGAAACTCAGGCGAAAGCGTCCACATTCTGTCAATGCTAGACAACATGTCTCTCAACAGACAAAACACAAATCGAGGAGTAAGATAGACAATTTTTCAGCAATTTTGCATCTCGTAATTCAATTCTATGGAAGAGACTAGAACTACCGAAGAGAAAAAGGCAGTTTCTACAAACCAGGAATCCTTGAACCTACCCAGCGTTGGTAGACGGTTATAGGAAATGAAGGAGATCACAGTATTCATAGGTAAATACCACTTATCATGAAACTGGGCTGTGTTGAATCTGATTTTGAAACTCGGGTGAAACTTGTTCAGTCACTAGTCTGGCGGCCGTTGAATTATTAAACGGCCCGCTTCCCAATTCTGATTACTTAGAAGACAGTTTTATGCGCGGAAACACGTGACTTGTTGATCGTTTTCAGTTAATACGGCTCCTTTGCCTGTGATTAGCTGCAGGAACACCACTTGCGTTGGCCGTTTGAAGGTTAAAAATTTGTAAATCATGCAGATCCCAGTGAAGTCATTATCGATTTGGCGGTGTGCATAGGATAGGGTTAAGTTTTACCGCTTTTCCTCTCTCCCTAAATTACTTGTCTACTTGCGGTTTGTTTAAAAGAACGCTCTGTTTACGAAAGACCTGGTGATAATTCCAAGCTCTGCCAACTCACTTGGAATTTTGGGTAAACTTTGAAACAAGGCAAGCATCCACTTCGCATTTTTGGTGGTATAATTTCACAACTATTTTCCTCACACAACTTTATCAGCAGGATTGCTGCGAAGTGGTCTACATCTTCCCGTCCCATCACATAAGCAGTGTTCATCAAAGTGGTTTGAAGCAAATCCCCAGGAAATCTGCAATTTGTAAGCAAAATCTTAATTTTGAAGTCTAAACAAATTCTCTCGATTCACTGGGTGTCCACGCGTCGATTTGGATTAGCGAAATTGTTCTAGTGGTCGGGATGTTTCCCAGCCTAATCAATTACTCAACGAGTTGGTCGGTATTGGTCAGAATATTCTGTTACGTCTGCTGTTACAACGCATTCAGTAACTGAGATCAACGTTGCTGCGTCTCACTTGTGAATTGGAGAGTCCCCTGCGTTAGTAGATCAACATCGTTTTCCTCGGTAGGTGGTTTCCATGGTTATACCCACGACTGTCCTCTCGTGGCGACTGCGAAGCCATTTCATGTTGAAGTAGCTGACAGCTAACAGACTGACTATTACACTTAGGTACTAAGATTAAGACGAAAATGGACGCGTTCAGTCGATTGCGAGTCAAACAAGCAAGCCGGTAACCTCCACGTCACGAACACTTTCCTTGTCCAAGATCCTGTCATCATGAGTGGTCCATATCAAACTTGTGACAGCCTAGTCGAGTGGTTCTGTGTTTTCTGGTGTTCCACTTGGCTCGCCTCTTCCGGCAATAAAGATGCCATTTCAAAACAGACTTCGAGGCAGTTGTGCTTGCACCAACCAACCGTAGCGTTGACGCTTATTCCAGTGCCATTCTAGTGCTCCCAAGGCAAACTGGGTCTACGCGTTCACAGAGCTGCAAATTTCTCCAGAATGTTCAGCTTCCATTTCCATTCTAGCGCATTCTGTCCAGAGACCGCCTCCTTCGAAACACTGCCAAGAGTTCTACTCCAATAGAAGACAATTTCAAGGGAGATTTCGTGAGGCAACTTACTCATTGAATACCACCACTTCAGGACTGAACACTCTTTGAAATTGGCAATTATTTTTTTTTTAACTCCCTGCCACCTTTATGTCCCTCGCATTAACGACAAAACTGAAGCAAACATCACCGGCCTAAGCTCATAAAAGCGCATTTACAAAGTGCAGGGAAATGTTAGAAGGCAATTTTTTTCCCGTTTTATTGCCATTCCCTTCGTCCTTGCACCACCCTGATTTGGCGCATAGAAATGAACTCTGATCCCACTGCCTCAAAGTCTTTAAAGGCGGTTATTTCCTAAAACAACTGAGCTTGTTTTAACTTGCACTTGTGATAAGTCTGTTATGCGTGCATTTCGCCCAATGCCGTGTTAAAAAGTGGCTGTAAGCTCATTCAGACTTTATCAAAGTTTTCACAGCTAAACTAAAATTACTTGGTGTTATGTTTTATATCTGCGCGCCTGTTTTAACAAGTTTGATGTTCTTTTCCAAACGACAATTGCAAGTTTGCGTTTCCTTAAATCAAATTAACACTTTTTTATGTTGAGGCGGTCAGTTAACTTGCTGTGACACTTTTTAATTAATAAATTTCGAATAAAATGGTTTGTAGACTTGAAAGTCGCACATCCATCTCTAGCACTACATGCTTCAAACGAGATTATTGCACCATAGCCAGAACTGTGCCAAATAAGAGGTAATGACCAGGATCGATTTTTGAAAAAGCCGATCACTTTGTCATAAGATTGATCATAAACTGGGGCTTCTTATTTCTTGCCACCTCGACATGATTTGAAATCGGTGAGTTTATTTAAAAAATCGCGCGACGACCAATGAAAACATGCGACAATTTTACATGTTTGGTGATGAGGGGATACAGAATTGCGTTTTCTTTTCCATCCTTATCACCAACCTCCACGTCTTTTAACTTTTTTAAAGAGTTGGTCAACAAAATCGAGTAATTTCTGCATGGTAAATTTAAGATAGTACAGGGTAATTATCATCCTTCTCCCGTAACTGATATTTGCCTGTTACAAGAGTGTCGAAAAGCCGTGCTAGACACATTGACGTCTGTGCTCGACACAGTCATAATGCCGCCTCTCTCGCGGCTGGCACAATCTCCAATGCCCTAAATTTATGCTAAAATCCTACTATAACAGACCATCTTGACAGCGCGGACTTTTTGCCATCAAATTGAATGTCTTCTGTTCCAGTTGCAATCTTAGGTTGTCTACATACGGGGACCACCTAGATCTGCTGGATTGCAAATTGTCACGCTTGGTGGTCGGAGGATAGACGGAGTAAGATTTCAAGTCTACAAAAGGTTCCTCAAAATAACAGAAAGGTCCTAGTAAATCTGTAAAGTGTAGGTATTACACTGTCATACAACAGGGCTTCAGAAGAATACCAAGTAAAATAAATAAGTAAAGCACATATAAAGGAGTTGGTTAATTGTGGTTCCTGGATCCGGTTTCGGTGTCTACTTTTTACCTGTCGAAATAACCATCTTTGGAATGTGTTTCGGCCGTTCTGGGATTTCCGGCTTCGTGGTTGGTTTTTTTGACTTTGACCTGCTCTCTTCGGAAGACGAGGAAGAAGTAGATGATGCTGATGAGGAGGAGGAGGAAGTAGAAGAAGCAGAAGACGATGTTTCCGTGGAAGTGGAGGACGTCTCGTCGGAGTCACTTGAATCGTCTGACTCCTCGTCACTGCTGCTGCCGCTGCTGCTGCTGCTGCTGCTGGTATCTTCAGTTGATGTGGTGTCACTTGACGAACCCGACGAGGTGTCTGAAGTGCTCGACGTGGAAGTGTCGGAACTGGAGCTATCGTCTTCACTATCACTGCTGGAGTCCACTGGGACTTTGCGCTTTTCTTGTGGTGCCGTTTTTTCCTTCATTTTGGATATTTTGTCAATTTTTCTAAAAAAATGCAAACAAAAGATGGGGTTATTGAGGTGTTATTGGCAGACGAGAAACCGGACTAGCCAGTCTTGGGTGTTGCGAATGCTTCGAATCCCTTCCCCCTTCAATAACCTGTCGACAGCGCAAAGAGTTTTTCTCAGTTCACGAAGGCTGCGCTGTCTTCTGCCTCTCCTTCTCACAGGCGCGGAGCTGTAGAGTGCCGGGGTTTTGCTTGAATCGCTCAAATCCTTGCTTAGTCAGATAGTCAGCAATGTGCAACAGATTTGTCACAGGTGATTGGTCCACTGCTTAACCAAGCAATCTCCTTAACGCTCACAGTCAAAATGCACACAGGACCGCACATAAGTTTGACAGAGAGACTTGATTTCTTTGTAAATGACAGGTCCTTACGAGACCTCTGCAAGCCAGATATCAAATGTAATGCGACCCCACGTTTGTTATGCAGAAGTCGCAACGAAGGCTGTGTCAAATCAGGCAACCTCTGTGAATATCCCTATAACATTCGTGGGATTTCGAACCTGCACAACTACTGAGCTGACCAATTTGTGGTAAATCGAATGCGGAGGCACACAAACTCCGGATTTGTCGATATTTGGTACACACACATGAGAGCTTTGGAACTACCAAGTAAATGTCACAATCTATTTGCTGTTGAGTGGCATATTTTCGACATCGTGCCGAATAGTTTGAAGCCGATGTGGCCGCTAGATTCGCTGCCACAGGGCCTTGTACAAACCCGTAATTCTACTTTGAATGTCCTCCCATATTTACCGTGTGATGACTCAAAACTGATTGCCACTGAGTTGTTTATTAACAAAATCCCTACTATAGTTACAGACACCTTAAGCACTAAGCATCAAAGTTGTATTAGCAAACGTTAGGACAGAAGTTGAAGTTGTGGCAGAACTAATAGTGTCGCCGTCTATGAGAACGATCCGACTTGCCATCGGCGTAGATGTACGAGGTCTTGGTACCTGCATAATCCCTCTTTGCGGTATTAGGTGTTTTGTGTTCTACTGTCGCTTTTTCTGGAGCCATTTTCGACGGTTTTGCTGCGGTGCTGGATGAAGTTTGTCGTGGAGTTTTGTCGGTGCTTTTTGCAACAACTTTCTTGCGCTTTTGTATTTCATCAGACGAGGTACTTGATGAGGATGAGGTATCAGAGGAAGAACTAGTGGAGGAAGTATCTGTGGAGGTATCGGTAGAGCTATCAGTAGAGGTGTCTGAGTCTGAGTCGGAGGACTCAGAACTTTCACTAGTGGAATCCGCCTCCTTTTTCTTCCTTGTCTTTTTTTCAGGTTTCTTTTCTGGCGTTTTCTCTTTTTTCTTTTTCTCTATTATCTTTCCTTGTTTCTTCTCTTTTGCCTTTTCCTGCTTCTTCGTTGTCACTTTGGTCTGATTTACGTTTCCCGAACGTTCCTTTTCGATCGCTTTTTTCTTTTCAACAACCACTTCATACTTCCTTCAAACACAAAACACGGCACCTTTAAATTTGCCGCCTCATGCGTTTGAAAGATAAAACACATAGAAGTAACCGTTGTGATTCATAGGAAAAAAAATCTAACGCTACAAAGGCAGTTCACAAAGACGATCAACCTCTTCTAGAACCTCCAAGTCGCTCTGACTGTAACATTACATTTCGCTTAATGCATTTTAGCAGTCAGTGTTAATTTTTCAAAGCACTGATACGTTTCTGTGCATCCTTTGTTTGTTTAAACATTTATTTGGCCAAAATAATTAACTAGCAAACTTTATTGAGGTGAAACATTTGTAACCTTGACTGCACTTGCCATCCTAGAGGAAAGCATGAAAACGCACCCCAAAATTATATTAAAACCGTAACCTGGTGCCACATAATAGTTTAAATGAAATGCGTGGAGAGATCCACTTAATCTGAATACACTTTTTTTACAACTGAAGATGAAAGGGCGTCACGAGTCGAATAATATTTTAAGTGCGGGTTAATGTTAACAAATTAAAGTCAACTTGTTGAGTTTGAGAAAGATCCATTTTAGCTTTTCTTGAGTTTAAATCAATTAAGTTTTATCAACAAGTTTACCTTGCATAAAAGGTGCAACAAACTGACGCAAGTTTTGAACACATCAGAGGTAAAGTAACACACATAAAAATATGCTTGTGGAGGGCTGTCACTCTTACTTGTTAAGCCTCTTGAAGATGGCCTTTAATCTCTCATGATAGTCCTTTAATGAAGTTTCCTCGCTTTTATCAGTCATCTGGAAATAAAATTAAAAGAACATTGTTGTGAAGCACAAACAATGCATTATAAATGACAGACATTTTCAATTTACTTAATTAAAGCTTTTGCGTAATCAATTGAAGGAAATTATTTTGGCATACAACAGAATCCCATTCTTACGCAAGTGATCGAATTTTGACCACGGAATTAAATTTACTTGCAGCACAGAATTGTAGTGAGGGAAAGTAAAAGGGTTTCGAAAAATATTTGAAGAATCTCGTCAAATGAAACCTTTATTTCAGGTTTTTTAGCCATGCTATACTGTCACTTTTCCGTATATACATTTAATTGTGAAACCAGTGTAATTTTTCAGAGTTCTGTCTAGAAATATTTTGCAACACCTTTGTGGCTATTTTTAGTACAAACAAGAAATTACTAAGGGTAAAAGAAGTATAAAACTGAGATTTAAATTGTATGCTACCACTGCTAAACACTATTCGAGGGAGTAAAATATAATACTCTATCCTAGTCTGTCAATGAAAAATTCAACTACTGTCATCTAACATAATTAAGGTGCCCTGACGCAAAAAGAATAAAATAAAAAAACAAGGGTTCCATAAGAAAAAACTGATTTCACAGTGTCCCAAGACATAGCGTGCATGCGTCACATTCTCTATTACACATTATTACTCAATGTAAATTAGGATTAGAGTAATAAAATATCGTTGATTTCTGTATAATATAAATTGTTTCTAAAAACAAGATTGACTGCATTTTACCCATGTTAACAGTTATTATTAGATTAATCAAGCCTGCCTGTCTGTACAGTATTGCAATAAAAATACATAGTTAGACTTAGTCAAAATTATCAATTCACAAATTTGGAAAAATGCATTAATTTATACATTTAAATTTCCTGCAACAACTTTTGCACGCAATGTGCCGAAGTTTATGTATGTATATACACATATGTATGAATCTGTCCAATTTATGTAGCTGTAAACAAAGCACTTTCACATGTACACTTACGGAAAAATCAGTCACAAAGCAGATTAAAAAAACACGAGTCAATCTATTAGACAAACTGATGATTTAAAACAATTAACAAGGTCGCAAGTCAACTAGTAGGTACTTGTTATTGCAAACTGAGTTATGCAGAAAAAATTATAAAAAACAAAAAAATGAAATCCTATAATATGAATTTTTCGAAAATTCAAGTTAGATGAAATATTTTGCTTATTTATCCAACGTTAGATACCCTTCTGCGACTACCAAAAATATGTCCTATGATTAGGACCTTATTTAGTGAATTATTCTGCCTTCGGTCATAAAAAAACATTCTAGAATCAGTGTTTAGAAAACAGGGGCACATTTCACAAATTTACCCACAATATATCACACATATTTGCATTGTGGAGCTTCCTTATCTGCTTCATTGGTTTGAACGAAAACCAATTGTACGCTACGATCGTGTTGATCAAACTGGGGTTTGTGCAGTAAAAAATCCAAAAACCGCGTTCTTTGTACCGCCTTATATGAGTGATGTGACCAGCAAATGATTTAATAATGTAACAGATTCGTCAAAATCAAGCCCTTTCAGTGAACATGTAATCTTGATCGCATGCAAAAGAAAAGATCACTTCGTTAAAATTTTTATTTCCAAGCGATCCGAATTGTTTGAGGATTTGAATCTATTTAAATGAATGTTAAATTTTTGACATTGTGTCCACATAAGTTCTCTTTCAATTTTTGTGATTAATGGAATACTACTGTGCAACTAATAATTGTGGAGCCTAGAAATTTATAAATAAAGACGTACAATGTAGTTCGTGAGTTAATTAGTGAACGGTAAGGTTAAAATTTTTCAAGTTTTCAACCAAATTTTGAAAAGAATTAATTCCGGAAATATTTAGAATCGATTACTTTAGCCATCTAATGTTTATTTTAAACGAAGACCTTAAGCCGGAACTCTGAAAAATGATGTTTTATCTCGCCAAATGTATAAACATTTAGTGCCTAATGTTTTTGCCCTGTCATTACTCCTTTTAATTAAGAGCATTACTATGATGAATTTGCACATTTGCTTTAGATCGTAGGCCAGATAGTGTATGTAAAAACATCCATTCATATTTATAGGATCATTTGTACATGGTCCGCTACTGATTGTCATACTTGATTCAAAATGGTATGAATATAATTTGATTTTTGCTAAAAGACAAAAGACTAAGACACATGAGGACAATTGTAGAAGTTACAATTATGCAAGCGTATAGGTGTAAGGTTATATTTTTATGGCTGACTGTGTCTTCTTGTTCATAAACTTATGATTTGGATCGAAACAATTCGTCGAATGGTCCTATATTCAGCAACTTGTGATTCATTTGAGAAGGTTCGTGGCTCAGAGAAAAAGTTTCTATTTTTAACTCTCATTGATCTCGTTCAAAAAAGGTTTACTTTATCAATGTGAAACAAATTTTTGTAAATTCAGTGCTCGAGATAATCACGCTTCGTGGGTCAGCTGCTTTAAATGCTAAAAATTGCTTACCTCTTACAGCAAACCGCTTAACAAAAGAGTTTTTAAAGAAAACCTTAATATTATTAATTGCAGTTGGACGTTTATTCGACTACTACCTTTTTTTGTGATGCACAATAAAGTACTACATGTTAACTATGAAGCTTTCATGGTTGATACATGGTCTGGCCCATTTGTCCGATTCGCCATTTCATATACAACAAATAAGTTGACACTTAATAGCCTTTAGTAAAATTGTCTTTTGAGCCATAATGATTATAATGTGTTTACAGGACGAAAGCATATAGAAAAGACTTTTTGGTAAAAGTTAAATTCAATTCCAGCGACCATGTATATTTTTGAATTTTTTCATTATAATAATACTGTTATTAGTATTATTATTAAAGCAAGTATCAGCATGCAACTTTTCACATATTTATTAGCAATGTTCACTGGTTTTTACACTATTAACAAATTATTTATTGCGGCCAAAATTAGCAAATACGCAAAGCTCGGAAATTTAACTGTTTCTCTCATTTTGAAACGAAGAAGTGCTACATTAATGACAACTGGACATGCTATTTCAGACATTAATTACATTCCTAACTGTTTAAAACGCAATCTTTATGCAACTAGCACCTTATCAGGGCATTCTCTCACCTCGGTAATTCAAGGCCAAAAACCGACGACAACTTAAGGTTTACTGTTCTAACTTAGGCTTTTTTAGCTGTTAATGACATCATTTTATAGCATTTAAAGTATTTTAAAATCTATTTATGTCATGCGAATACCTTTTTTTAATAATGAGCAAGCCCTTTTAGTTTTGTTTGTTTATCTTTGATTCAGAAATCTTTAGCTGGGGTGTCTGTTCACATTTCAATTTTAATATCTGGCAATCATGGGTGATGAGGAGTTCAGTACTGCCGATGCCGGCGCCGCTAACGGTACTCCTATCCAATGTGGTGGCATTAAAAAAGGTGCCTTTGTGATCATGAAGGACAGACCATGCAAAATTGTTGATGTTTCAGCGTCAAAAACTGGTAAACATGGTTCGGCGAAGATCAACTACGTCGGAATTGACATTTTTACCGGTAAACGTATGGAGGAGTGCCGTCCTTCCGGCCACACGGTGTACTCACCCAATGTTACCAGAACTGAGTGCCAGTTGGTTTCCATTGAGCCCGATGGGTACTTAGAGCTTTTGCTCGCCGATAATACCACTCGCTCGGATATCCCTGGCGGTGACATGCTGGATACTCTTAAAGAGAAATTCGATAACCTCAACGACAACGAAGACTTATTGGTATGACTATTGTATATTTGTTTACTTTCCTGTAGGTTACGTACATCTCTGCCATGGGTCAGGAGAAGGTTGTTGAATGTCGAATTAACACAAACAAATAAATGGGCTTTGGTCTCTTTCCTACGAAGTATTGTGTTATTTTTTGAACAGGTTAAATTGGCTCATTATAATACAAATTGGTATGCGCTGTGACTGGACGTTATTTCATGTACCCCTTCGTTTTTTTTGTGGACCTAGTTTCTGATAAATTATAGCAAAGGTCACCAAGATCTAGTCTAGTGTAGCTCGTTGAGTTCGTTCTTTGACACAGTTTACAGTTGCTGACTTCCCGGCGAAGAGGATTTCCTAACGTCATAAATTTTGAGTTCATTTGACCGAAAGGTTGCTTTTGCCGCAGCTGTTCTAGCACTTCCCTGTAACACGTCTCGCGTGGGCGCGTGCGTAATGCTGTGTTTGTTCATGTTTTACATTTGTAATACTTCTCGTTTTGCCACGTTGAAGTATCTGATTTGCAGGCCGCCTCGGATGGAGTGTCGCGTGGGTTGCAAACCAGCTCCAGAAGTGGCCGGAGACGATGTGCGCATTAGACGCCAAAGAATCTACTCAGAACAATCTACTAACTAATTGGTGGGGTTGCTGTAAATAGGCACTCCATGTCGGCACTGAGTGTGGGCAGTTCGCATGCTGATTGACGATGTTAGCTGTTTGAAATTTCCGTTTTCAGAGTGGCGTACCAACTGTCGACTGATACGTCCTGGGTGAACTAGTAAACGTGCGAATGGTGCGGTGGGTAAAGCGGACGAAGGGTCCGTGAGCGGATGATACAGCGTGACTGACGGGCTTGCTGTAAAACGGGGCAGTGAGTTGGGGAGTTCAACGACAGTGGATGAGTGTAAATCAAGGCGATTCACTGCTAAACAATGGAGACCCTGTCTTGAGAAGACGTTTGGCCTCAATGGCCTGAAAATATAGGTTTTTTGCTAATCAGTGCACATTCCGATTGCGCCAGATCTACGCTCTACCCTTAAGAAGTCCATGTACCAAGCGTCGGCAGGAGTGAGTGGACACGAATCAGTCGATGTGCCTGAGTACACGTCACGTAGCCATGTTCGTTCAGAGATGGATTCTAAGCGATCCTATATAAACTGACGAATTTGTACCTTCTACTACCGTGCTGCTACTGCATCAATGAATCGGTTAAAGGGCGCGTTGTCTGGGTTCCCTCAGCTCGGTTGTGTGTCGCTCCAACGACCAACAAATTTGGCTTTGAATAATGAGTTTGTTGATCTACACAGTCTGGATAAATCTGTTAAAGTGCAAATAACCGAACAATTGGAAGGAGGCACGGACTATGAAGTGTGTGTGAGCAAACAGTTTCACGTAGTCGATGAGGACGCCGTGAAAAGTTGGTCGGTGTAGCCGAGACTGGGACGATCGGGTTAATGGACGTGAATCAAGACGGATTCACTAAGTAAGTGTCAACTCAAGGCCGGATCATCTTTCGAAAAGTTAAGCTGTCCTCGCAAGACAGAGGGTCACCGTCTAGGCGGGAACTCAATGTCGGGTCGTACTCTCAAAAAGGTCAATATTCGTTGAAATGTCGGACATCCATGTGTGGCAGTGTGCGCCAGTAATCTACACAAGTGCAACAATTTAACTGGCAGTCTGTGGAGTACAAAAAAATCAATAAAAGCGATATCGACGGCTCAAATAAGATGTGTCATCTGTATGGCCCTGCTGTGCTGCATGACTGATAGAATTTGTTGACCAATTGGGGTCGGTTTAGCTAGTAAAAGCACAAATGACTTGATGGTCAAATTTACTTCACCCAGAATTACCACTAGGTGCCAGTTCTCCACAAATATTCACCCCTAGAACACTCATGAACCACAGATAGTACCGGAAAGTCACCATTCCCGAATCAGCGAATCGGATGGAGGGGGCAAGTGACGTAACCCGAAACGCGACCTTGAAAGCCAAAAAAATTTAGAAAGATAACAGCAGCTCATGTTCATCGCAACACAATGCTACCCGTCCTCTGAAAGATGCAGATTTGCGTTGAAAGGAAAGAATCAAAGTGAGAAAGCAACTAGAGTACGTGTTTAAAATTTGTAGGGTCGTAAATTTCGTCGCATAATCGTGGTTGTGGAAATTGTCATTATTCCCATATTACTATTTTATCGCGTGTTCATTTGAATTAATGAAACGGATGACTTTTAAACTTAAACCCTGTCTGTCCTCGAGTTGGTTTCTTGGATATATCCCCCTTTGAACCACTCATGTGTTTAAAATGCATTTTGGTTTGTTGTGGTAAGATGGGAAGCAGTGCACCCCAAAAATGAGTTAGAAGGCATAAATCGATGATAACTAGACCGCTTGTTTGGTAGCTAGTTAAGACAGTTAGAGTTAGAGTTAGAAGG